TGCAGGCATCATGGCCCCTGCAGGCAGTAATGCACACAGGGTTCAACCTGCGCCCTTCTTTTATTTCAGGGAGGGATTTTACACAAAGGAAGAAGGGGATTATTAAGACAGGGTATAGAAGTGAAATGTGATTAATCATTGAAAACAGAACACAATGATTTACAGGAACAAATTCTAAAACATACATCGCAAATTGTCTTAATCTAACATCCTTAATTTTCCAAAAATTCAAGCAAATTGTTATAAATTACTTCTTAGGTTCAAATCCTAAGGCAGAGACTCAAGGTTTCTCAAGGCTAATTAACATACCTATAGCACTTAATCTCAAATGGGTAAAGGTGAGAAAAGGATTTCAAAAGGTCTGAAGAGAATCAAGCTGTTTCAGCTACCTGGCTAAGGCTTTCAGGAGGAAGGAGGAAGCCTGGGTTAATGGTTTACACCTGGGGACGATTTGAGGCGGTTCCTTGAACAATACTCTGGAATTTGCCAATCTACTTTGAGTGAATTCTCTGGGCAGATTGTCTCCAGTGCCTCTTTGCTTAATCCCAGCAAATCTGCATTTGGAACTTTTACAGCCTCAACTATAGAAGAGGTTTTTGGTTTTAATATGGTGTATGGATATCAAGAGTCCATGTATTAAGTTAATATCAAACATAACTGAATAATTTGATAAAAAACAGTTTGGATATGCTTGTCAGGTGGCCAGAGTTTGTTCCTCAGAGAGATTTGTTCCCAGAACCCAAAGCACTGCCAGCACAGTGGAGACATTAAGAGAGGCACATAAGAAACCATTTTCTCAGAAGCTACAATTACTGGAGTTAGAAGCATAGAATGAATAATAAGACCAAAGAAAATTATACGGAGGAAGCCCAACAGTGAGTTCGTAAAAGCCAATGAACCCGGGATGTCAGGAGGTCACTTCCTTGGCCCTCAGGGTCCCTGGCTGGCAATCCTGAATGGAGCCTCCGTGTTGGATTTTCGTCCATGACACAGGGCGTCAACATCTCAGTGATTTGCAGTCCCCAACAATCCCATAACTCTTCTGGTCTTCGGTCTTTAATGTTTAATGTATCAAGTCTGTTCTTCAGATGATCCCTAAATTCAGGTGGGATATATTCAAGGTCAGATTTTGGCTCTCGTGGACTTGTTTTCATTTTCTTCAGCTGCAGTTTGAATTTGCATATGAGTAATTGATGGTCTGTTCCACAGTCTGCCCCTGGCCTTGTTTTCACTGATGATATGGAGCTTTTCCATTGTCTCTTTCCACAGATGTAGTCAATTTGATTTCTGTGTATTCCATCTGGTGAGGTCCATGTGTATAGTCATCTCTTATGCTATCTAAAGA